TGCCAACCCACGAGTTGGCGCGTGAGTTGACGTGTTTAGAAGAGCTGCAATTGGTCGGAATAGAAAAATGGACGCCACACGTATTTTCGGCGGTGCAATTGGCTCGCGGTCGGTACATTAGATCAAAAACAATGACGGAAACGAGAGTGAGATAGTGCAGTTCAGCAGTTGTTATTATTCTTATTTGAAGTGTGGAAAACTTCTTTTATTTTGGGTAACTGAAGTGTGGGAATTTTGTTTCACGCGCCAACTCGTGGTTTGACATCAGTACACGTTAAAATATGAAACCAAGGAAGATCTCCCTCTAACCTTGAAACTCTATTAATGAACCTTGACTTAATCTTAAGGAAAACGCAGAAAATATTACCTTACAGGAAAGTGCGTAGAATTCATGCGAAATAAAAGTGAGTCACCCTAATCTACGCTATCAGCATGCGAAAGACGTAGACATAGTTCGACAGAGGGTTGACAATAAGTGATAAAGCAACTGTTTAATGTTTCTTACATAAAAGTAATAATAACCATCAGTAATTGTGCCACGCTACCTAACCCAGACCTAACTCAGCGCCTACAGTGGCGAAAGTGCAATTGAAACGATGTTGGTTTTATTCCATACAGCAGGAGGGCCGCGAATTGCGAAATAAATCGTTAAAAGTTTGACCTAGCGACATTGATACGAAGCATCTCGATTAGAATGATGTGTATGTGTGTACTTATGTGTAGATCTGCGTTTGATTTCTGCTTTGGCGCCATTGAGGTTCGTCTGCAACGCGAGACTTCCGCTAGTTTGTTTGTTTGAGGAATTGAAATTTTTTGTGTGTAACTGGATACTTTGACTCGTTTGGAGGATTTGGAAGTTTGTAGAGTTTTGTAGATAGTAATTTTCAATTTTATATATTTGTTATTTTATAGTTTTCGAGTTTAGGAATTTACTACCCTACAGTTTTCAATTTTACAAATTTACTACTCTACTATTTACTGTTTTACAAATTTATAACATAACAATTCTCAAATTCCAGAATACTTATATTTTCATGTTTCCTAACCGCCAAATTCTAGAAGATGCAAATTCCTAAATTGCCAAGTTTCAAAATTCCAAATTCCCACATTGTAAAATTTCTAAAACACCGAACTCTCAAATTTCCAAATTGCCACGCCCCCGAATTCTCAAATTTCCAAATAGCCATGCTCCCAACTTCTCAAATTTCCAAATAGCCACGTCCTCGAATTCTCAAATTTCCAAATAGCCACGCTGCCAACTTCTCAAATTTCCAAATAGCCACGCCCCAACTTCTCAACTTTCCAGATAGCCACGCCCCCAACTTCTCAAATTTCCAAATTGCTACGCCCCTAAATTCTCACATTCCCAAATAGCCACGCCCCCGAATTCTTAAATTTCCGAATAGCCACGCCCCCAAATTCTCAAATTTCCTCATTACCACGCCCCAAATTCTCAAATTTCCAAATAGCCACGCCCCCAACGTCTCAAATTTCCAAATAGCCACGCCCCCAAATTCTCACATTTCCAAATTACCACGCCCCAACTTCTCACATTTCCAAATAGCCACGCCCCCGAATTCTTAAATTTCCAAATAGCCACGTCCCCGAATTCTCACATTTACAAATAGCCACGCCCCAAATTCTCAAATTTCCGAATTACCACGCCCCCAAATTCTAACATTTCCAAATTACCACGCCCCAAATTTCAAAATTCCAAATTCCCACATTGCAAAATTTCTCCAACCCCAAATTCTCAAGTTTACAAATTCCCACAACCCCCAATAAGCTTCCAAATTTCCAACCTCTCAAATATCCCCCTAATCTCAAATACGTCCTACATTTACTCCCCTCTAAAATTAACCTAAACCTTTTACCTCCATCCATAAACAATTTTCCCAAAAGATATCCATAACAAAAATCATCCCCCAAAATCATCCATAAACAAAATCTCAATAATAAAAATTGCTAAAAACCTCGATAAAAATGATTTTAAAATGATTTCTACATAAACAATAAAAGTACATAGACATCTGAATGAACATTAAAAAAGACCTTGACTAAATCGAGTACTTTCTTAATGGTCGCTGGTTATGAATAGCGATGGTAATAAAGCATAATCGATCGTTTGTTTACTAAACACGGTTCAACGAGAAGGAAAGGGAGGCTCGAAGGATACATGCATAATAATACGCGTATTAAATATCATCGGGTAAAAGAGAGGGTCCATAAATCGATGAGACGCACCAGAGGGAAAGCAGTGACGGTCAAGTCATGGAGAGATTCAGTCCACCAGCAGCTTCATTGAAGAAAAGAATTAGCCCTCCGATAGCGTGGAATCTTGGTTTGACTAGCAGGGAACCGAGACTCGTTAAAGTGATTTTGTTAGGGCATCAGGGTGTTGGTAAAACTGGTAAGAATTTAGGTAGTTATTGGTAGAATTGTGGTTGTGCAATTTTTGGGGGTTGATTGTTACAGGTGGAAGTTTGGAGGTTAGGAATTCTTGGAAGATGGTTGTGTTTGGTTGTTTTTCTGGGTTAATTGTAGGTTGATTATAGGTTGCAATTTTTATGGTGTTTCTCAAATTTGAAATGTAGGTCTTTTTTGAGTAAATAGTTCATTCATTTCTACTTTTATTAATTTTGAAATTTAGGTGTTTAAGAATTCTATTTTTGCAAGGTTCTGCTTGTGTAATTTGCAATCTGTACAATTTCCACCTTCCCCAAATTTACACTTTCCTAATTTCTAGCCTCCCCAATTTCCACCTTTTCCAATTTCCTACTTTTCTAATTTCCACCTTTCCTAATTTCCATCTTTTCCAATTTCCTACTTTTCCAATTTCCACCTTTCCTAATTTCCACCCTCCACAATTTCCACCTTCTCCAATTTCCACCTTTTCCAATTTCCACCTTTCCTAATTTCCACCTTTCCAAATTCCCAATACCCCAATTCTCATTTTCCTAATTTCCACCCTCCCCAATTTCCACCTTCTCCATTTCCACCTTTCCTAATTTCTCACTTTCCCAATTTCCACCTTCCCAAATTCCCATTTCCCCCAATTCTCACTCCCCCAAATTCCTACTTCCCCAAATTCTTCCACATCCCCAATTTCCATCTTTTCCAAATTTCCACATCCCCAATTTCCACCTTCCCAAATTCCACCTTCCCCCAATTCTCACTCCCCCAAATTCCTACTTCCCCAAATTCTGATTCCACCAAATTCTCATTTCCCCAATTTCCACCCTCCTCAATCTCCCAAATCCTTGATAACCCTCCCCAATTTCCACCTTTCCCAAATTTCACCTTCCCCAAATTTCCACATCCCCAATTTCCACCTTCCCAAATTTCTACTTTTCCAAATTCTCACTCCCCCAAATTCTTATTTCCCCTTTCCACATCCCCAAATTCCTACTTCCTCAAATTTCCACCTTCCCAAATTTCTCATTCCCCCAAATTCCTACTTCCCCAAATTCTCACTCCCCCAAATTCTCACTCCCCCAAATTCTCACTTCCACAATTTCCACCCTCCCCAATCTCCCAAATCCTTGATAACCTTCCCCAAAATCCACCCTCCCCAAAATCTACCTTCCCTAATTTCCAACGTCCCTAATTTTCACCCTCCCCAACTTCCACTCCTTCCAAATTCCCACTCTTCCCTCTTCCCTCTTCCCTCTTCCCTCTTCCCTCTTCCCACTCCCCAAATCTCCCAAATATAATTTTCCACCCTCCCCAATTTCCATTTTTTCCAATTTCCACTTTTCCTAATTTCTCACTTTCCCAATTTCCACCTTCCCAAATTCCCATTACCCCAATTTCCACTTTCTTAATTACCATCCTCCCCAATTTCCATCTTTCCCAAATTCCACCTTCCCCAAATTTCCACATCCCCAATTTCCATCTTCCCCAAATTTCCACATCCCCAATTTCCATCTTCCCCAAATTTCCACATCCCCAATTTCCATCTTCCCCAAATTTCCACATCCCCAATTTCCATCTTCCCCAAATTTCCACATCCCCAATTTCCATCTTCCCCAAATTTCCACATCCCCAATTTCCATCTTCCCCAAATTTCCACATCCCCAATTTCCATCTTCCCCAAATTTCCACATCCCCAATTTCCATCTTCCCCAAATTTCCACATCCCCAATTTCCATCTTCCCCAAATTTCCACATCCCCAATTTCCATCTTCCCCAAATTTCCACATCCCCAATTTCCATCTTCCCCAAATTTCCACATCCCCAATTTCCACCTTCCCAAATTTCTACTTTTCCAAATTCTCACTCCCCCAAATTCTTATTTCCCTTTTCCACATCCCCAAATTCCTACTTCCTCAAATTTCCACCTTCCCAAATTTCTCATTCCCCCAAATTCCTACTTCCCCAAATTCTCACTCCCCCAAATTCTTATTTCCCCTTTCCACATCCCCAAATTCCTACTTCCCCAAATTTCCACCTTCCCAAATTCTCACTTCCACAATTTCCACCCTCCCCAATCTCCCAAATCCTTGATAACCTACCCCAAAATCCACCCTCCCCAAAATCTACCTTCCCTAATTTCCAACCTCCCTAATTTTCACCCTCCCCAACTTCCACCCCTTCCAAATTCCCACTCTTCCCTCTTCTCTCTTCCCTCTTCCCTCTTCCCACTCCCCAAATCTCCCAAATACAATTTTCCACAGTTCCCAAATTCCCCCTTCCCCAGAAATCTACCTCCCCAAAACTCACCAATAATTCTCACCAACGAATACGTATAATTCATATAAACCGCAATTTATATGTATACAGCTTTGGCAGTAAGATTCGCCACAAAACGATACATAGGCGAATATGACTGCACCACCGAGAGGATGTACAAGGTGGACAGCTTCCTCGACGCTACGTGGGAGATATCTGATCCTCCAGGATTCTTACCACCCCCGACCGAGCTAAAATTACGATGGGCTGATGTGATTGTCCTGGTTTATTCAGTGTCGGATCGAGTCAGCTTTGACGAGACTTCTCGACTTCGGTGAGAAAGCGAATTCCAATTTTATTTTCACTATTTCTGTTGTGTATGTTAATACAAAAGAAGTATCATTCTTCTTTGGTAAATTTTGTTGACATATAATGTGCACTCAATTTGAAGTTAAAAAATAAATAAACAAACGGAACATAAATTAGTACACACATTTACTCTTTATCTTGATGGAAGTCAATGCTGATTTCAAGGAATGTTTTTTGACAAAATGTGTACCTTGTAATAAGAAACTTGTGGAGCGGTCATTTTACTGGTTTGGTAGTTTTAGTGTTAACCCTTTGCGCTCGAGAGGTGACTCACCATTATATTTAATACAATAATTTTAAATAAGCATTTTTTAATTGATTCTGTTACATGACACGTGTGATGTATAAACATAGTGAAACAAATAATAATAATCTCAAGTAAAGAAATAATAATGTCAAGAAAATTCATTTAACTTTTTAACTAAATTTTAAAGTTGCTGTTTGTAAAGAGTCAAATTACCTTCGAGTGCGAAGGGTTAACTCTCAGAAGATGTAGTATTTGGTGTTAATGTATCTGGTACAGGAATTATGTTTAATAAACTAGTATATTAATAATATATTATACACTGTAAACTAGCATATTAATAATATATTATAAATTATAAATTAGTATATTTATAAAGATATAATACATGGTTCATACGTTTTCTAACGAAACGTGTTAACACGTAACAATAATTTGGAACGATGTTACACTTTCTTCGGCTATGATTTTTTTCTGCATCTGAATCGATGTCCCCCAGCTATTTTTAATTAATCGTGGAAATATCAAGGGGTTACGCAAGAAATGCCAGAGGAACACGCACGGTTCAACCCCTATCGTACACGCTACACAAAGTTACTTGAGCTTCCGTTTTTAATAAATTCATCCATGAAAGTACATTAATGAAATTTCGCTTTACGAAGATCTTTAATGAATTTTCATGAATAGGTGACTGCGAAAGGTTTTATATAAAATAGTTTATTGGTAGATTTTTAGTGTCACACGCGAGGAGAACTAGGAAGGTACCACCTGTGGTGATACTGATTGCCAATAAAGCGGACGTAACGTACACACCTGGCGAAAGGGTGGTTTCCACTGCGGAGGGTCGCCAGAGGGCCGAAGAAATCGAAGCTCACGCGTTTCATGAGATTTCGGTCAGAGAATCGGTCGAACAGGTAATTTTATCTTTATTTATCATTTTTTTATGTAAACGATTATTTATAGATTCATGTATATTATTGTTTATGCATCAAGACTTTGGTAATATTTCACAAAGTTAATTTTGTAAAGATCAAGCGAATGTTATGTTAGAAAGCTTTGATTCTGGTATTAATATTAAACGTAGTACTACGTTTACTCGTACCATTTCTCATAAATTTCATTTTGACTGCCATAGCTTAGTTACCTTACACAAAATTGAAATTCAACCTTGATTAAAAATAAAACACGTAGTACTACGTTTTGGATTCACTCGTACAATTTCTTGTAAATTTCACTGTAACTACCATAGCTTTGTTGGCTTACATAAAATTGAAATTCAACCTTGATTAAAAATAAAACACGTAGTACTACGTTTTGGATTCACTCGTACCATTTCTCATAAATTTTATTCTGATTACCATAGCTTAGTTGGCTTACATAAAATTGAAATTCAACCCTGATTCAAAATACAACACGTAGTACTACTTGAATAGGTGCATTGCTAATACTACTGTTTTTTAAACCGATAAATTTATAAATCGGTAGAAAAGTTAGAACAGTCAGTTCGAAACACGAAATCGTGCTATTAGAGATAACAGAACAGCACTTCAGCTTCGGAAAAATCAGAAGTCGTTGACATGGTGGTGTTACGTCTTGAACGATAATGATGGAAGCGTTTGACGTAACACTGACATTGACTTCTCTGTTGTACGATCTTCGGGCACAAGGGCTAAGACATAGGGCAAACTTATTTGTTTGTAAAATAAACAATTATGCAATTCAATAAATAAAATCCTCTTCCACTAAAAAATTTGAATAAAAAATTGTATAAAGTTTGCTGTTTATATTGCTCTTCATCAGAATTCATATTTATAGAATGCTTTGATTTATAGAACGTAGTACTACGTGCTTCATTTTATTTGCATTTAAGCGTTATGTATATTCAAACTAAAATGTATTTAATATTTCTGTACGATTCTGTACGAAATTTTTATTGGGGATAAAATTTATTAAAGAACGTACTACTACGTCCTTCATTTTGTTGACTTTTGTGGGTTCCACACGTGCTGTCTAACATTTACTTCGAATTTCTACAAAATTTTATAGAAAAGTTTCATCGAAGATGCAATTTGTCAAAGAACGTACTACTACGTGCTTTATTTTGTTAACGCTTGTGTCTCACACCTGCTGCCTAAGGTCCACTTGATATTTCTACTAGATTTCTTATAAAAATTTAATCAGAGTTAAAGTTCGTTAAAGAACGTAGTACTACGTTTTTCGTTTTATCAACCTTTTAACGTGCTACGTGTGTCAATACACATTTCCTGAATATCCCTACAAAATTTCCTATGGAATTTTCATGACAGGTGGTACTTATTAAAGAACGTACTACTACGTGCTTTAACTATGTTTAAAAAAAAATGATTATGTAGTAATAATTAATTATTAGTAAGATTCGTCAAACACATCAAAATTCTCCACGAAAGTTTGCCCCATCAGAAGTGACGTATTACTACGTGTCTCGTTTTGTAACGTCTGGTAGATAGCCTTATCACTTACGAAAGTGTTTATGGTATACCAAAAAGAATCGTACGTTCTACCTACGTTCTAGAATTCCCTTTCCCACGAACGTAGTACTACGTTCTCGATAATTTGCAATGTCAACCGAATTCATTTGATTCTCTTCTCATCTAAATGAATATCAACACCCAAAAAAACTCGATTATCTCGAAAAATTCCGTCGACTCGAACGTAGTACTACGTACGCGAAAGTTCTGAGATTTAATCGAACGCGAAATACTTATCGAACGAAATTCGCAAACTACGCATATCGTGGGCGAACGATACACCGATTGACGTAGCACTTCGTCAACGTAGCACTACGTCATCCATCGTGGGAGACGTTCGAGCGAGATACCGATCGCCGGAAGTGCTATTTCCGATTGCGGAAGCGTTCAGGTTTCGCGAATCAACGACGAAGATCTCTGGTTATTTTTCTTAAACGATTGTTTACTCCACCGGGAAATCAGTCATGGCGTTCACGCGTGATCGCCAAGTGGTAAACAAAATCTGTATCGCGACGAAGCTGTCCGCGAGATATACGGCCACATCTCCAATCGTCCTGCTTGCTATCTTAATATGGCCGCAATTAAAAATTTGTTTCACAATTAATTATCCGCAGACACTGTCTACGATGGACTGATTGTTGGCACATCGGAGGGCAGATTAAAATGGAGAACTTAGGGAATTGTAGAAAATTGTGAGAAATTACAGAGAATCGTAGGAAACTAGAGGAAATTAGGAAAGTAAGAGAAAGTAGGGAAATATAGAACCTGAGTATATCTAGAATTTAGTGAGACTTCCATGGAATCTAGGGAAAACTTGTATTGTACCAACAACCTAAACCTAAACCTAGACCTAAACCTTGTCCAAGCTAGAGTCTAGGAGTCTAGGAGTCTCTAGGGTCCCTAGAGTCTGGAGAGTACCTAGCAACCATACATAGTTCAAAACCTAGGGACAATCTAACCTAAAAGGTAGTCTATATCTTAGAGATAACCTAGTGTTCAGTAAGAATCTAGAGACTGGAGAGAACCTAGAAGCAGCTTAGAACCTAGGAACAACCTGTTGAAGTAGGTGTTCTAGGGAGAATTTAGTGTTTAGTGAGCGTTTACTGTCTAAGAGCAATTGAAGAGAGAATGTAGACTCCAGAAGAAACTAGAAACTAGGGAGAACGTAATACTAGTAATCTAGATTGTGAGAAACTTAGAGAGGATCTGAAACTAGTAATCTAGATTCTGAGAAACCAGATCCTAGGGAGGGCCTGAGACTAGTAACTTGGATCGTAGGAACCTAGGAATTTCGAGTTCAGTTTCTGGGAATCTAGAACTGAATTTGGAGTCTAAGAACCTAAAATCTAGGAGCTGGAGAAGCCTAGACCCTAGTAGCCTAAGAACCCTAGACCCTAGTAGCTTAAGAACACTAGACCCTAGTAGCCTAACAACCCTAGACTCTAATAGCTTAAAAACCCTAGGTCCTAGTAGCTTAAAAACCCTAGAACCTAGTAGCCTAAGAACCCTAGACCTTAGTAGCCTAAAAACCCTAAAACCTAGTAGCCTAAGAACCCTAGACTCTAATAGCCTAAGAACCCTAGGCCTTAGTAGCCTATAAACCCTAAACCCTAGTAGCCTAAAAACCCTAGAACCTAGCAGCCTAAGAACTCTAGACTCTAGTAGCTTAGAAACCCTAGACCCTAGTAGCCTAAGAACCCTAAACCCTAGTACCCTAAGAACCCTAAGAACCTTAAGAACCCTAGACCCTAGTACCCTAAGAACCCTAGGAACTCTAGGAACCCTAGGAACCCTAGACCCTAATACCTTAAATACCCAGAAATCTAAAATTAGCCTAAAAACCTAGGAACCCAGCAGCTTACAAAAGTCGCACGTGTCGCGGCCATTTAGTGAGGGGCGAAAATAAAAATAGAAAATGGCTGGGCGATAATCGAGTTGAATAGATAATCGCACGCGTTATGCAACGATGGTAGACAGGCCCGATTATTTTTATTTGGCAGGTCATGGCCGTTTTCACCGACATCTCCAAGTTGTTGACGGAATTGCCGGGCAACTCTGGGCACCAAGGGAGCTCCTTCAGAGTGAGAGCCTCGACTGATGGCACTTTGAACGCTCTTCGACGACCCTCGCCTATTCCGCTCAAGAGGAGATTCAGCATCTCCGTACGGGGAACGACTCATTGAATCAATTGAATGTTAATTGTGATTGTTGTTTATAGTAATTTAATGAAATTTATTGTAAGTATCTGGTATTTTTAGTTTTAATGGGCTGAGATCAGTCTGAAGACCTCGAGGTACCTTGAAGAGTATACAAAATATACAGAGATTTATAAAATGAATGCCTACTATTCTGAATACTAACAAAATGGCGGCGCTTTGATGCCTACAGATTGACCTCATACTTGTACCATTATCTTGTTAAACATTCGTTACAGTTTTTGTGAAAAGTAAAATAATACAAAAGTCTTATAAGAATTTTTATTAACACCTCCAAGTAGAATTTTACAATAAAATTTTTTTACAAAAATTCTTACTGCGTAAACAGTTCAAATTCAACCATGTCTTATCGCGAACGCGAGAGCCTTTGGATTCTCGTCTTGAATGGCGGCTCTGCATCCAGCTACAGTGTTCGACGAACTTTTCCCAACTGTATTAAAAAATTCCCAACAATTAAAAAATAATTCACACGTCAGGATAAAATATTAGGCTACCTCTCAGTCTGGCTGCACGTTGCACTCCCATGTTCAGCTCCTTCAAGTTCGACGTGAGTTCCCTGTAACTCTTCATCCTGATTTCGTGTTCCCTTATTAAATCCGCGTTCACGTTCTTCAGCTGCACTAATCTTCTCCTCATGTCGTCCACATTCTCGAGAATCCTAGCATCTTCCAGTCTGATTATTATATTTTTTAATAACGTCGTCTCGTTTGCGGTCTCCGCCTGCAGTTTAGCGTCAATCTCCTTCAGTTCTACAAAAAAATTAAGAATTAATCTTCAAAATTTATTAAAAATCATTGCTAAGTTTTCATTTACCTCTGACGCGTTCCAGTGCGTCGACCAGCCTTTTCTCTTCGTCCGGGAACGAGACTTCAGAAGAAAGCTCTCTGAGACCCAGATACATAGCCAAAGATTGAATAACGTCACCCGCGAATGCGGAATCCTCTGTTTGAATGGTTATTTTTCCAGCGGAGTTGACCAGGAAACAGTGAACCTTGTCGTCCCTCATTCCACGAAGCCATAGCTCGATGCCTCCATTGTGTATGCCGTCTTCCTTCATTTCGAACTCTTCCGGTAGGATGAGGCTCTGGTTCAGCCATAGGGCGATCCTTTGAGGCCTCTCTGCAAGCTGAAAATATTTTCTGCTATTTTGTACAATAATCGCTTCTGAATAAACACTTCTCTTCAACAAAATGATATACAATTTCTTTCAACAACCATCTTAGTTTGCATCAAATAATTAAGTTTCGTAGAAGAAATAACAGGACATTTCTTCCAGCAGCAACCATCTTTTGTACTTTCAGTTTGCATAAAAAAAATTAAGTTACATAAAGAAACTAACAGGACATTTCTTCCAGCAGCAACCATCTTTTGTACTTTTAGTTTGCATAAAAAAAATTAAGTTACATAAAGAAACTAACAAGACATTTTTTCCAGCATGAACCATCTTCTGTATTTTCAGTTTGCATCAAATAATTAAGTTCCATAGAGGAACTAACAAGACATTTCTTCCAACAACCATCTTTTGTACTTTCACTTTGCATCAAATAATTAGATTCCACAGAAGTACCTCAGCAGTGACACTATTTTTAGCGAAGTCATCCGGAATCTGTGAGGGACGATCAATCACTTCGTACATGCAGAATCTAGGCAGCTGACGGGTCATCTCAAACACCTGTTAAGAAGTAGCTGTGCAGTTAACCAAATTAAACATTTCTCTGTAATTTGATACCTGAAGAAGATCAGCTCCAGCGGGACCAACGCAGACCTTCACATGCATGTCTACAGGAGTATTCTTCGCAGGACGAAGCTCAATTTCAAGTTCCCCTCTGGGCTTACTAGGATGAACAACCAGGGTCTCACCTTCGAAGACTCCTTCCGTGAAAACTATAGCGCAGTGAATCTGAAAGAGTCAGAATTAAGAAGAGTAAGAAGTAATCTTATTAGACTATCTACCAGAAGTCCAGGTCCGGATGCGAGCGAGACGCGGGCCGCACCCCTTGAGGTCATTAAACTGACGGCCAATTTTGTCCCGTGGTACATGTTTGGAACGGTCGAAGCTCTTTGTCTGAGTTCCATCTGCAGCATCTGTTTTCTAGCTAATAAATCTCGCATGGCTTCACCGGGTTCTGGAGTGTCCATTGTGGAGGCAGAACTGTAGCCTCGTACTGTAACGATGAAAACTTCGAATAGTGGATAATACGAGGGTGTTGCGAATAATATTTCACCTTCTCCGGTGGTGGAGACCACTACCAAGTCGGGCTTTCCGAGTCGCCTATAGTCGGCCTCCACGATTCCAGCCACACCGGCTGATAATTGAATTTTAAAAATTACTTCGCCACTGTCGGACAACCTGGCATCCACTTTTCCATTATTCCAGCCGGTTATTACTTCCGGAGTGCCGTCCCCATTCAAGTCGAAGCTGCGTGTAACCACCACCCTGTGTTTCGACTGAAAAATTCATTGAATCGAATATGGCCTCGTCTATTTTTATACGTTCGACAATTTCGAAGAACCGACCTTAACACGCCAGAGTCTCTGAGACATTTCGTAGACACCTAAAGTTCCATTTCCGACGGAATAAACGAATCTTCGATTAGGGAGGCCGGTTAAACTGGTGATGGGTGCTGTTTCCTTGGTCTCCCAGAGAACGTTGCTCTGCTTGTGCACCTTTATCTCAAAATCTACTGTACCAGTTATCAGCTGGTAACAAAAAAATTTCAGTAAGAATAAAATATTAATTTGCTGAAAAAAGTTTCAATTTGATTTTACCTCATTCTCATTATCCCCATTGAAATCAAACACAGCCAGGGAGCTAACCATACCTCCTACCACTGTCCAGAATACTTCTGTACCCTGTGAGTCCAAGATGGTTACCGAACAGTTTCCACCCACTATAGCCACATGATTTGAGAGCCAGCTCAGTCTTCCAATGATTATGCATTTAGCTCCATCAGACATCTAGCAGAAAAGATGATTGAGCACCTTCATCAAGGGTTCAGGATGATTCAGTACCTCTTTGTAGAAGATGTCTGAGTTGTCTTCAACGTGGAAGGCAAGAACATGAGTGATAGTTCCAATTAGAAGAATATCCCTTTCATCTTCACCAAGTCTGCCAGTACACAGTGCTGTAATCTGTTAGAAATATAATAAATGGTAATCTTGGACTGATTAAGAGTATGTCACTTTACCTCGGTACCAATTTGGAGTTCAGCAAGCTCCCCACTCCATGATAATTTCCTGTCTGCCTGCTCATGATCATGGCCAGTTATTTGTGGTTGTCTATGAGGACTGTGCACTAAAATATTCCCGCCAAATGTGGCTACTGCTAGGCAGGCATGGGAACCATCAAACTTCCCACAAGTGACAAGGCAAGGTTCCACGTGTTTTTCAATGTTCAGAGTAAAGGCTGCCATTTTTAGAGCAGCTTAGTTTGTATGTATTCTAATGCATAGTGCTAACAGGCTATGGCTTACTCATTGGGTGGTGGATTATTGATTACTGTTTTACCTGTGAACCTTACCTTCTGTATTAAACTATACATATTGATGCATAGTTACAGCTGTTTGTATTCAAGGAGAGACAAAGCATATGTTTTTGGGAAAATAACAAAAGGTTTTTACTTAAATCAAGTTTATTCAGAAGATGTAATTATGAATGTTACAATTGCAATTATGAAAGTACATTGTAACTTTATAAATAAACGGTCCACACATGAACACTCATCGAGCAATAATGCACATGAAGATGTAACAATATGGTCTCACTGTCTTTGGGCACTGCCTCCCCCTGCTCCTCCAGCTTCAGGATTTGTTGCAGATGACAGAACAACAAAGATCAATGCTGGTACAATGTACATCCACTGAAACAAAAATATAATAATGTACAATTTAAAGTGTCATATAAAAATAGAATCACAAATACCATTTGAATTAAAGAACTTACATATCTTGCAAGGAAAGATCTGTTATCTTTAGCTTCCCCTCTTTCCCTTGCTTCTCTCTCACGTTCAAGTTTCTGAATGTACGTAGCAGTGTCTGGAACTGGTCCACCATCAGGATATTTAACAATAACATTAGTTGTCCACATATTTGTGAATGGACTCTCGGTATTACAAGGACCTGGCGAGGAGAGGCTTACAACTATTGGTTCAGCTGCACTATCCAGCCAAACTGTTATTACATCTTCTAGATCAGAACCAAGAAGATAACACTGAAAAAAGAAATGCGGATATAAATGTTTATAGGATATAAGTAACTGCAATGATGAGAGAAGTATAATTACCGCAGGTACAGAAGTTAAAAATGTTATTTCATTTCCTGAAGAAGTACGGGCTACTGCTTTAAGCCTGTATTTGCCATCATTTTTGGCAAGATTTTTCAATTCAGTTATGTGGGTTTGCAGTAACCCATTTTGTCCAATGACAGATGCACCACTGCGGACACTGGATATGGTTACATTTCCACGCTCTATAAAAATGGGCTCTGGTTCATCATTAAATGCGTGCCATAGTCTTAGCTGTAGCCATCCATCATAGTCTAATTCGCTCTGAAATGTTATCGAAGTTTGTTACGTGGCATATTGTAGACTGCTCAAACTTATGGTTATACTAACCCCATGAATCAATGATGACAGGCTAAGTAACAAACTTATACAGAAGTATGATATATACATTATTAAAATTATCTATTCTTTACAGTGTATAAACAGAATTAAATTGATCTCATTTTATAACATTAATCTTCTAATATTTATTTATTAATAGTAATTCAACATGTATGTGTCCGCACTGCGGTATAAACGATTTTAACAGCAACAACGTTGACATTTAGTCCTTATCATTTGTACTCTCATACGGCTATCAATTGAATTTATTTAATTTAATGCTAAATTTATAGTATTATCAAATTTTATTTAATTTATTAAAAAAATATCGGTTGTCAAAGTTGAGCAGTTTAGAAATGATGCATCAACTTTTTGTAACTTTCTTGTGGTTTTATTGGCAATAGTTAGGGATAATTTTTGATCAGTCCTACCAATACATACATTATACAGCATACAGTGCGGACACTCGAACAAAATATTGTATTCTAGGATCTTCTTGGGTGTTCCCAAATTCTTTGGTAATGCAAACATTTTTTTGGTTCTTAACGTTGTTACATATATTAAAATATTCTAATATTTGGAGTATTATAACATCCATATTTTATTCATAATTTTCGCAAATAATCAATGATACTTATTGGATAATGCAGTAGCTATAGTATATTATTTATAACTCTTGGAGACGCTTCCATGGCGCCAATGTCTACACCAGCGCCACCATATTGCCGATTATATTGCTACTGTAGAAGGTTGACTGAAGTATCAGTAGTAATGATACTTCAAATTCGTAAACCGAATAGCTACGAAACTAATTCTGAATTAAAGTACTACATAGTGTCCCAAGAATTGTGATTTCAGTCGTCGAAACCTTCTGTAACAAATTGTGCCGTACATAGGATAAGTGATACATTTCAATGTATATTTGTATACTTCGATTACAATCAAGCAACGCGCGTTTTAGCATTTGAATTCCTCAACAACAGCAGCATCGTAATTTAACATAGTAAGTTCAATTGATGTTATTTTAATTGTTTTTCTGAAACTGTTTTGTTTGGATATACTCAGCCAATAAATAGTAATGACTTAAGAAATATATTGATACATTCTTTAATTACTATTTAATTTTCATGTTTTTAATAATTGTTGTTACAGATGGATGATAAGGATCCAACTACTGTCATCAAAATGATAAAGGACTTGAGATCAGGTTCAGAAGCCTATCGTAAAAGCAGTAGCAGTGGTGTATCACTACGGCTCTCAGGAACTGCATTTACATCTCCTTTGTTCAGTGAACAAGAGGAATGTATTATTTCACCCAAAAGACGAAGACTTGATGATTCAGATAGTTCTATTTCAAATAAGAGTCAGACAGAGACTGTTCCAGGTAGTCCATGGGAATGGAGAAGATTAAAGGGAGAAGTAAACATTTTTTGACTAACACCATACATGAATTTATAGAGATTCTATACATTAGGAAAATTCTGTGTGTTTTGTTAGGTTGTATCTTTAAAAACAAGGCTTTCTCATCAAGAGGCAACAGTGCAACAACTTCACAAGATACGTAGGCAAATGGAAGAGGTGTTTGAAAAGCAGAAAAGTGGTTTAGAGATACAGATAGAAGAAGACAAACAAACTATCAAACAGTTAGAAGTGAGGCTAGATATTGCTCGTAGAACAATTCAAGATGCACGCACTGCACAAGCTGCTGCAGAAAAGGAATTACACCAGGTAAATAAACAGTGCTCAAACATTTACATTTTAATGTCTACAGAATTGTATATATAATGGAATTTGTAGGTGAAGACAAATTTGGAGCAAAAGAACCTCACACTAATGAATGAGAATGCAAAACTATTAGATGAGCTTAAAAATGTTCCTACACAAGAAACCCTGCCAAAATCTACAGATGGAGAAGAAATTTCACAAAGTCAGCAACAGCTTGAGGTAGCACAAAAACGAATAACACAGTTAGAGGAAAAACTGAGAGAATATCAAACTAAACAGCAAGTATTGGAACTGCAAAATGTGGAACTTCAAAATATGAAAATAAAAATAGAGAAACTAGAATCAGAAAGAGCATCCTGGGAAGAAGGAAAATTATTGCTTGCCAAAGCAGCGAAAGCTAATGAGCTTGAGAAAGAACTCACAGTTGCGAAAGAAACTATTGCCAATTTAAGAGAATCTGTCAGAGGAAAATTATTACTAGAAGAACAAATGGCTAATGTAATGAAGAGGTATTGTTTCTGAAATCGCTTTTACAATTCACGTAGCCATTACTTCGTGATAAAAATATTTGTCCTTTTACAGGTTAGAGCATACAGAGAAAGTGGAACAGCAAGTTACTGTGTTGGAAGCCAAAAAAGCGGAACTTACATTACGTCTGGCCGAATACGAGTCTATTGGAATCACCGGTGGACCGTCGGTCTTGAAACGTGAATTGAACAGACTACAGCAAGCCGAATTAGTTTTGAAAGCAGAAGAAGGACAACTCAGATCAAAGTTGGACGCTGCATTGAGAGAATCGCAGAATCTATCAAAAAAATACGAGGACGCTAAGAAATTGGCCACAGATGTAACAGTGTCCAAGGAAAAATTAAACAAGTTGGCGAGCAGATTACAGAAGAAGATGATCCTCGTGACGAGAGAAAGGGACAGTTACAGACAGCAGTTAGATTTATACGAAAAAGAGATGACCATAGATAGCAATAACGCCATAACCGAAAGAATTCCTGCACTGGAACGTACAATAGATGCTTACCGGTAATTATAAGACCTCAGTTTAAGTATTTAGTATCAACTGCAATGCTAAAGAGATTTATTTCCCAGGGAGTTAGTTACCAAATTAGAGTCGGATCTTCAAGCAGCCGAGGGTTATAGTCAAGTGGATGAGTGCAATAAATTGAAGGAGGAAGTCGAGCGACTGAAGGGCGAATTGGAGCATCGTGCACTAAAAGGTGATTTCAATTGCAACGCTAGGATACTGCACTATTCCATGAATCCTGCTGCTATCGCGGAACAGCAGGCGGAGGAAAAGCAGAAAGCATTACTGCGTGAACTGGAAGAACTGAGAGCTAAAGTGGCGCAGGGAGGAACCAACGCTACGACGTCTTCTCTACAGGCACAAGGTAAGGGTTTTATATTATATGGAATGGTGATGAAACCAAGTGCTCATTGGAGAGTTTGTGGAGTACTGTAGCAGACTCCAGTTATGTTTGTTGAGCGAGTTACCTTTGGGCATTTGGGGATTTGAGAAGTTGGAAGCTTGCAAACTTGAAATTGACAAATCAAAAAGTTTTGAAACACTCCACGGAAGAACCTCTGTTTATCCTTATGAACTTTTGTCAATCTGAAGACTGATACTACCTTAAATTTCTCACTCAACATAATAATTTTCATGCAACTGTTTTTTATAGAAATAGCGGAACTTAAGCAAACTCACGAGATCAAAATAGCTCGTTTGAAGGAGGCTTTTAAGGCATCGTCGCAGGAGTATCGACAAGCTTGTTACCAACTATTCGGTTGGAGAGTAGACAGAACGAAGGAGGGTCGATATAAATTATTCAGTCAGTATGCGGAATCACCTGACGACTATCTGTTCTTCCAAATCAGTGGGGATGGAGTGGATCTCCTGGAAACCGCGTTCTCAGCGACACTCGAGTCATTGATGGAACAACACTTGCATCGACAGCACAGCGTGCCCATGTTTCTAAACGCTGTACAAACAGACTTATTCAATCAGCAGACTATGACTAATGTTATGAGTTGATCTTCCTAGCTGCTAAAAGAATTAAATCTTCAAATATAGAATGAAAATATGAAGATCAAGGAATTATAATCATTGTCAGCTACAAAATTGGGTTTATTCTCCATGTTATTTTAAATGAATTTTTTCATAAAACTTAGTTCTTGAAACGAGTGCTCTGTGAATAAAATGAATACTTCTTGATTAAAAATCATGTGGCAACCTGGCGTTTTTATTGTATGAATGCAGGATCAAAGTAGAGATAAGGCTGGAACTTTGTATGTTGCTTCCTTTGGTTAAGAGTGTCTTCAGAAATTTTAAAACTCAGGAATTTAGGGAGAAACGTAGAAACATGTCTCTGAATATGAAAGACACAATATATTCCTCTACGGTTTAACTAAAGGAAGCTGCACTCATATGACTAATGGCAGTTCATATAACATGAAGTTGCTTGCATTAATGTGATGTTTTAGAAAGTAATCTACATTTTATTTCTTTAAAATTATACTTCGAATGTGGCAAAATATTTACACGGTACAATAATTTACGACTAATCAATTTTTATTCGGTCCAGTTGGAAAAGATGGTTACGTCGTTTGAACTTTTAAATAAAGTATTTCAGACATGATACAAAGTTTTGAATTTAATTTATAATACCTGTATTTAAAGGTGTAGAAGATGTAGAATAACTGGTGTTATTTTTTACACATTCACAAGTATTTTCAAGCTTAATTCTTACAATTTGCGCGCGCTTTTTGCAAACACTGTTGGCGCCATCCAGCGGTGAACTACGACATCAAAATGTAATTATTTATTTTTAACTAATAATTATCGCATTATTTTAGTTCTGTTTACATAATAAAATATTGTATACGTATTAGAAAAGCGTGGAAGTATTTAATTTTACAGAAAAATGAAATTTTCTGTTAGACTAATACCACAGCCCACCGCTGAGTGGCGCCATTGGTACTGTCTCAAAAGCGCGCGCAATTTAAACTGGTCAAACTTAAAGAATTAATTCTTTTACTATTTTTAGTCAAACTAAAATATTAATTTTGCAATAGTCCAATATTTTTTGATACTGTTAATTTAATTCTAATTTACTTTAATTTTAATGTACTTCTCTTTAGCTCTACGTAATTTTAATTAATGCAATTGCAACCAGTTAATTTTAGCGTCAAGATGCATTTAAATTAAAGGACACAAGATATTCTCCATTCCGAATTCTTCACCTCAAAATTATACGCGACAGGATTTCCTAGCTATTAAAGTAATTAAGTTATGAACGAAGAAGGCAGACTACGAACACGTCAGTCCATCTCAAGAACGGTCTCGCCTAAGCATTGATAAACGACGTCATAATGGAACGGGCGCGAAACCAAGGAAGAGGAATTCCTGCTCGAGGAACAGGAGAATCGTTCATCTCAATTATGTGGCAGTCTCACCAGCAGTCTTTCCAATTCTTATCGCACGAGAAAAGCCATGACAATAGAACGTTGCGGATGGAGAGTCCCGTGGAGCCTTTCCTGCTTCCCGGGGGATGCGTTCATGGTTCTCGGTGACCCCCGTATCCGAGGGGATTCCCGTGGAACGATTCCAATTGCATTGTCCGCCAAGGGGTGGTAATTCTTCATTAGCGTCTGAGTCATCTCAAGAACCCGTGGGACGCCCACATATGTCTACTTTCTTAGATACACCTACACTCATTAACTTATACAGAGTATAAGTTAATACTAACTAAGTTCAAAATAAGGTACCTAAATTTTCAAGTAAATATAAAATTTCCAGACTGGCAAATTTAAAATTAAATATTTTTGTGGTCACAAATATAAAATTTCCAAACTTGCAAATTTAAAAATATTTAATTTTAAATTTCCTAGTCTAAAATTTCCAAACTTGCAAATTTGGAAAAACAAAATTTCTGTGAACACAAATATAAAATTTCCAAACTTGCAAATTTAAAAATATTTAATTTTAAATTTGCCAGTCTAAAATTTGCAAATTTGCAAATTTGGAAGAACAAAATTTCTGTGGGCACAAATATAAAATTTCCAAACTTGCAAATTTAAAGATATTTAATTTTAAATTTGCAAGTCTAAAATTTCCAAACTTGCACATTTGGAAGAACAAAATTTCTGTGGCCACAAATATAAAATTTCCAAACTTGCAAATTTAAAAATATTTAATTTTAAATTTGCCAGTCTAAAATTTTCAAATTTGCAAATTTGGAAGAACAAAATTTCTGTGGTCACAAATCTGAAATTTCCAGACTTGCAAATTTAAAATAAAAAATTTCTGAATTTTTAAATCAGACATATTGATGAATTATTAATTAATTGAATTAACCCTTGGAAGGGTGAATGCGAATATTTGAAGTTTACCGTAAAGAAAATGGAGTATATTTTATTACGAACGCTATTGATTGTGATTAGCATAAGGAGGTCGGTTGATCCGTAAAATTGTCGAAAGTTGTAGAGAAAAAGTTTACTATAATCTCGCGATAATATCGCGTTTAACGACCAAATGTGCAGAAAGATATTCCGAAACAGCTATTAAGGTTAAACAAGCGGGTACAGTTTTTTTCTTCCGAAGTTATTCCAGACGGTAGTTTTTAACGATATAAGATTTTTCTCGCGATACTCGGACATAATCACAGAAGTTGCCTTGTTAAATAATTCTCAACTTATATATTTTATAACATTATCGCGACTTCTGCCCCGTAAGGGCAGTTTCCATAATTCACCGTAACTTTGTTTATTCATTGATCGAAATATCGTCTCGTTTTATATGATATTCGAAGTTCGAAAATAAACGAGGGTGCACTTTAAGCGATTCGAGCATGCGTTTCAATTTCCCTTCGAAATGTCGACGAAGAAATTGATAAAAATAGGAAAACCTGGATGGCTCGCGGCGTTTACATTTCGTGCTTCCATGTTGTACAATTTCCCCTTTGCTTTCGTATTGTTGAGGTTCTCGAGCGTTTAATGAAAACCGACGACTTAATACGGAAAGGGGTTGAATTTTCTCCCTTGCAACTTTGTAGATTATTTGAGAAGCAGCGGATAGGATTACGGAACTTCTCGGTTACTCTATTCGAACTGACGGCCTAACAAAATCCTTCACGTCCAGGTACAACTTTACTAGCATAATTCGCTGAAGAACAAAATGCTATTCCCGCGAAACAAATTTAAATATTCAGATGCATCAATCGCGTTCAATTTACCGCGATCTGGATTTCTACGGAATATTTTCTCCGGAATTCTATTTCATTCCTTCGAAATACGTTACACGACTTGTATTTTGGTTATCTCTTATTTCTTGTTTATATACAATTTTTTTTATTGTAATAAAAATATAGGTATTTTTATATAGAATGTTTAATGAAGTAAAAATTCATAGACATTAATTTGCTTGAATTTTCGCTTCAATTAAAACTTAACGCTTTCCTCTGTCCGCCATATTGGATGACGCTTCACTTTCTGTACGAGTTTCAATTTCAAACTCGTATCAACTACTTGGGACTGCGAATAATAAATACAACTATTGTGAAAATACTCGGTGAGGTTAAAATTAAAAACTGTCAGCTTCAATGTAAAAGTTGAGTTAAATTTTTGTTTCATAACCTATGACTCTTCATCTAAAAACGCGTCGAATTGGACAACTGCTAAATTAACAAATTAGTAATACAATCAAAACTAAAATACATCCATTCCTCATCTTAAATATTGCCAAAAACACTAACAAAAATTAATGAACTTAAAAAATGGAGAATAAACCAAAATGTAAGAATATTACCTCAAAATTGAAGCAGTTTCCAAATGTTGCAGGAGGTCGGACATTTTGTCTTTGACGCACGAAAGCGTATAAAGTCGAATAGTAGGAGGTACGTGCGAGAAACTGGACGACCAAAAGCATTTTCGTGGGTCGGTTGTGCACGTTGGCTGACGACAGGAACTCGATATAACGACGCCAGCTGCGAAGGGACTCGAGTCGACGGCAACTCCCGCCCCGAAACTCCATTATCCTTAATTATAATCGCGTTTAATCGCAAACTCATCCAGGCTCCCTTCCATATGTGCTCGTCGCGGCGCCTTAACTTCACCACGTCGAACCGCCACCCTCGTTCAACCACGGTTATCAATCTGGAATCAACCCTGCCCGTTTTCCGCCGCAGACCTATACCTCTGCTTAGAAAATCTTCTTTGTGCCTTTCTTGCTAACATTGTTAAACCATTAGGTCGGTGAGGTAGAATATCTCGTTAAGGGCTGCTTTTTTTGGTTGGTGGTTAATTTTACTTGTTTATTGCTTTGGGGAATTATGCCATGACAGGGAATTGTGATTACTGACACGAGGTTAGTTTTTTAAATTTAAGGAAAACCATCTATTAAAACATGTTATCTGAAAATAGTATACCTCCTCTATACAACACAACAATCATTATTGTGAGATAGAACGAATAGATTTACAGAACGTTACTCTAACACTGGTTAAAGTTATGGCGATTTGTACGTTCATCACTAGACGGCGCATGAGACTTGACTTTCTCGCTAGTACTCAAGGAGCCCTTCCACACAGTATGTCGGAAAAGTAACGGAACTTAAATTTAAGGAAAACTAGCGCCATCTATTAAAACATGTTATCTGAAAA